TCTGCTCTCTGCCACAGGGAGAGGGCAGATGCATCCCCCAGTTCAGGGCAGCAGCAGCAGCACAGGGCAGAGCCCTGCACCTTACACAGCAGCCCCACAGAATACTGAACTAATGGGGCTGAACCCAGCTTGCTGTCCGGATGGAAGCCCATAAGGTGGGCAGGAGGCGCAGAGCAGTGTGAAGCCACAAGGAAGCTCTTGGAAAGCTGGAGCAATCCCTTCTCCCGCTGTGATGGCAGTGGGATCTGGATTCATGATGCCCCTGCCCCCTGCAGGGCACCCTGGAGCTGATGTGGCTGATGCAGCCCCCTCCCTGCTCACACAGAAAGAAATCAGCCCACTGTGCTTACCCAGGATCTAGGGGAAGAAACAGCCCCTCTGCCTACAGCAGAGTTCTCAGCTTTCCTGCGGATGAAGGCCACGTGGGCTCTCCTTCCTGACAAACACGCCAAGCCACGTGATGCTGCCCTGCAGCCCAGGCTGGTCTGATGCACAGCCATAGGCAGGAGCCCCTCACCTGAGCTGAGCACAGCTCGCCCTTCCCCAAGCAGGGGAAGTATTTTAAGTATTTAAAAGCCTGTTGAGCAGAGATGAAAGCAGGTACCTGGCACCCTGCTCTGCTTCCCCTGCTTCATCCTGAACAGGGGATATGAATGTGCTGTTTGCTCTGCTGCTTGTTCCATCCACTTCTCAGGAACTGCAGAAAGTCCTGTCTGCAGGAGAAAAAGCTGCTGCATCAGGACAAAGCACTGGACCCTTGGAAACTGACAGGAGAAACTGGGGAGCACTTGGGGTAAGGAAATACATGCCAGCTGGTCTCTGCTGTGAAACCTTTTATACAATTGCTCCTTCCTCTTATGAATAAATGAGGCTGATGACTCGGCTCTGTTCTCTGGCTCCTTGCAGTAAAGGGGCCACCAGCCCAGGCTCCCCGAACTGAAGGCGAACAGGTTGTTTTGGGAAAAGCAGCCCCTGCTGCTTACAAGGAAATCAGCAAAGGCACTGCATACCCCCTGCAGTCCCCAGCCCCACAGCCACAGAGAGTAATGCATATCTGCTGCCTGTGTACTACACGTCAGTGCCAGGAGCTGTAACAGGAATGGAAGCCCCAGGCAAAACATTCCCACCAGCATGAAGCAGTAATTTATTTTAACAAGGTGGAAAAAGCGCTGGCTCACACTCAGAAAAAAGGGATTGGCATGGCATATGCATGCCACAAGCCTCAGTCAAGAGTCTTTCATGCCTGGTTATAACTCTGACTAATGAAGGTCCTTCCTCCATCACCAGAAGCTTTGCACAGCTCAGCCTACCCAGAAGCCACAGCCAATAAGTGACAAACACCTGCCTGTGGTTCAGAAAAGTTGGCACCAAGTCTGTGTTTGCAGGCAAACCAGAGGACAAAAAGGGGCAGTCACTGCACATCCATCTTCTCCTGCTTGAGTGATGCAACAAAATCTTTGTACTCCTCAGGATAGAAATTTTTGTACACGCCAATCTTCCTCTTGATCTGTTTGGGAGTGTCCTGGTAGTAGTTCTTTTCATCACGAGCCATTTCCTGTGACAAAGGTGAGAATACATCAGAGGAACAGCAAGTACGGATCTGCACAGCCAAGCAGGCAAGCTGCCGCTGGTGCCTGCCAGGTTCTGGCTGACGTTCAAAGCACTATTTCCCCTTAGAGATCAGCTGACCACAAACCAAGATCCAGGGCAGGGATGCATGGCAACTACCACCATGCAGAAGAGCCAGAAGTGAGCTGTTCCTTGCTTTGAGGCACCTAGTGCTTACCTTGTAGTTCTCCCCATGGTTCTGTATCATGTACCGCACATAGTCAATGAGGTCTCTTGAGAGCGTATTTGACTTCTTCTCAGGAAGACTGGCCTCAAATTCCATCTCTAGGCAGAGGGTAGAGGCACTATGATGCAGGCAGGCAGGGGAGGGAGGGAAGCAGCACCTCCCAGAGTTGAGCCCTGCCAGTCCTGCAGAAAGGCACAGCTTCTGCGGCACAGCTCCATGACTGCATGCTGCACTGCTGCCCAGCACAACCAAGCAGGAAAATGAATGAGACAATGAGGAAAATGAACGAATGCTGCAAGCACACAGCCCTGCAGCTCATACTGTGAGGAAGGAGTGAAGCTGCTGCTGCCCTTGCTGCGATGTGTGACTGCACAGCTGCTAAAGCACTGCTGTTGTACTCAGAGAAGGGCAGCCACAGGTTCTTGTCCCAGTGGCGTGGGACATCACTGAGTTTGGACTCAGAGTGACAAGAGGCCCACTGGGGCAGCAGGTGGAAAAAGGCAGCACAGGAGGAAAAGGAAACTCATGGGACAGGACAGGCTGTGAAGAATAGCTGTTCTCATTCCAGCTCAGCTCCAGCCTGGCTGAGAACCTGCTGTGCACATTCACAAGCCTTAAAACAACTGCATCAAGGTTTGTATGAGAACTAACAGCTTTCCCTGCCCGAGCTCCTCACAGCTGCAAGCAAGAGACTGAACACCCCCGGGATCCCAACGCGCTGGCAGCAGCACAGCAGGATGCCCGCTGGCAGCACAGCGCAGCACTGACCGCTCAGGACGTAGGGCTTCCGCACCAGCGTCTTCTCCTGCTCCTGTCCATCACTCTCTGTCTCCATCTTCTGCATTGAGAGAAAAAGCACCTCGAGAAAAGTGCGTTTGGAGAGGGCTGCCAACACGTTACTTCTGCAGATCTAAACGGCCCACGGACCGGGACATCTCTCACGTCTTAAATAAAGCTTTTTTTTTCCCCTTTTTCCCCCACTCAGCTCAGCCCACAGACACGCGCCCACGACCAGCCCGTCCCGCCCGCGCTCACCTGCAGCCGCCTTTTGCCGATGGGGACGGCCTTGTTGGGGTCCCCGGCCAGGCCCATCTCGGCCAGGTTCTGCGCCACCGACTTGGTCGCGTCCCACGCATGGCGGATGTGTGAGCTGCACGGGGACAGGTACGGCTCAGGGGAGGTGATGGCAGTGCGCGCTCCCCGGACCCACGCAGCCCGCGCCCCCGGCACTCACCACTCGATGCGCGGCGCGGCCTTGCGCCTGGCGCTGCGGTACAGCCGCTTGCGGTTGAGGCCGTAAGCGAACTTCTGCCGCCGGTTCTTCCCCTTAGCCTTCGGCATGGCTGCCCCACGCTGCCGTCGGGCCGCACCGCTGGGCCGGGCCGCGCCGCACCGCGAGGCACCACGGGAAGCGGAGTCCCGCGTGCGGAAGCCGCCGCGGTGCCGCCCCAGTCACGAACTACAGCTCCCGGCACGCCCCGCGGCGAGATCACGTGGCTCTGCCGGGAGCCGGCCTACGGCGGGCGGGAGGGGTCGCGCCGTTCACCATCCCCGCAGCCGCAGCCATGGCGGCCGGGTCTCCTCCGCCCTTGGAGCCCATCCCGATGCCGGCGTACCGCGATGAGGGCTTCGCGGACAAGTTCCGGCGCAAGACGCGCGAGAACCCGCTGGTGCCCCTCGGTGAGGGCCCGGAAGGGTGCTAAGCCCTGGCAGCCTGGGGTGGGCGCTGCTCCCTGCGGGGCTTCGGGGAGACGAGGGAGGGGGACTGGGGCTGGGCCGGACTCGTCTCACTGTCTGTCCGTCTGTCTGTCTGTCCGCCCCCCGCAGGCTGCCTCTGCACCCTGGGCGTGCTGACCTACGGCCTCATCAGCTTCAAGAGGGGCAACACGCGCCACTCGCAGCTGATGATGCGGGCGCGGGTCATGGCTCAGGGCTTCACCATCGCGGCTCTGCTGGGCGGCATGGTGGTCACCGCCCTCAAGGCCAGGAGCTGAGCGCGGGGAGCGGCACGGCTGGAGGACGGGCGCTGCCTGCGGACGTGAGACGGCTGCGGTGCGTTGGAGCCGGTGTCGGAGATGCTGCGCGTCACATAGCGTCGAAATGCGGCTAATATACCTCTGTTGCTAACCTCACGTTTGGGCTGCGGTGATTCTTTGATTCCCTGAGAGCTCCCGTGTCTGCCCGCTGTTGTCACCGCCTGCTGAAATTGGCTCCTTTGTCGCTTGGTGGTGCCTTTCTGCACCGAGGTGTGGCTTTAATCAGGCTATGTAAAAGCAGTTGAGAAATGCTGGGGTGGGAAGAAATGGCTCTATTTGTGGTTTGATCCGGGCAGAGCAGAGTTCATAATCAGTGCATGAGTTATTTGGGGAGAAGGTGCAATCCGTCCAGCTGCAGCCAGTGAGTAACAAAGTGAATTGCAGCAAACACGCTGAGTGATACAGGATTGCAGAGCACCGCGGAGCCAGGAAAGTCAGCAGCGTGAGAGGAGTGGGTACTGCTGCCTCTGAGCTGTGGTTAGGTCATAAGTAGGACACGAGGTGTAACACCTGTGCAAACAACGTAGGAACTTGGTTTCCCAAACAGACTGCCTTCTCCAGAATGCACTGATATTTAGCTTCTTTTATTGAAAGGTCACTTCTGCACAACTTGCTGCATCGCATGAGTTGGGACCAATTGCTGGGCAAGATCCCATTCCCAGGAGGAGCTGTGTTTCCCTCATTGTGGCAAACATCTTCACAGGTGGCTCTGAGTGCCAGTTTGCATTGTTTCCCAGCACCAAGGGAATCCACTTCCTTCATTAGCTGCTTAGTAAATCTTTCCCAAAAGCTTTGTTGCCTTTCTGACACTTTCAGCCTGGACAACTGTGGGCAGGGTGTGTGCGGAGGAACCGCTGTGCAGACTTGTGAGCCTGCCTGCAGGAATTCCCCTGCAGGACAGGGCGCTGCCTGGATGGCTGCTGTGGTGCAGGAGGCTCAGGAGCAGCTTGCCCAGGTCTGCTCAGCATGTCTGGGTAAGCACGCATGCCTGTGGTCGGAGCAGAGCAGCTACCTTCTCATCCTGCTGCTGCTGCTTGTCTCAGCTCAGAGCAAACCCTGTAGCCCTAGGATGTGGTTCTCCTACAGCACTGTCCTTTCTGCAGGCTTTGCAGGTATGGATTCTCCTAAGTGCACATGCTAAAGGATGAAGACAACAGTGCCTTATAGGGTCAGTTTGGAGATGTCGGTTTATTGTAACAGGTGATTTGAACAGTCACATATACCAAAGCCAAAGGGATGTAGAACAGCAGTGGGCACTGCTCCCCAAGATGCCCTGCCCAACACAGGGTGCACGGCAGCCAGGGGACTGCAGCCTGGCTACTTGCTAGGACTACAGGCCCAGAGCGCAGCCAGAGGCTCTTCCAGCTGCTCTGCAAAGAAAGGCAGATGCAGGCAGCCAGATCCCTGGGTCCATCCTGCACCACAGCAGAGATGCCTACATGTGCTGTGGTGCAGGGACACAGAGGAGGAGTGATCAGCCATACAGATAAGGGGCACAATCCCAGCACAAAACACAGTTATTCCTACACACCCATTCCTTTTTCCAGACCACTACCAAAGATGACAGCATTCTCCAGGCCTGTCAGGTGCCTATGAGCCATGGTTACGGGTGCCAGGTCATCCCTCCAGGACTGCAGCAAGAGGGCAGACAACCTTGATTTGTGGAGCTGTCACTGCAAAAGATTACTATGTACTGAATTTACTGGTGGAGCAGGGCTCTGCAGCAAAGCTTTGACAAATGGTTTATGCACTCTGCTCCACGTCCCCTCAGGCTGTTGCTGCAGGCCCTTCCCCAGTCCACAACAGGCTGGTCCTAGGGCACAAGCTCACAGCAAGCTGCTCTGCTGCAAGGTGTAGCAGACCTTATCAACACCCCTTCAGCTAACTAGTTCTGCAGGTTTCCAGGGCTGGGGCTCAAAGCCAGAGGGGCTGGTGCCAGTCCTGCCAAGCAAGGAGAGAAAGCAGGTGTTTGGACTGGAAAGTGCACCTGATGAGGCAATGAGCAGGACCTCCATCTTGCCATGCTGCCTTTGGTGTGCAAATCCAGTGGCACATGGGCCAAACTGAAACCACAGAGCAGCTGTCCAGCTGCAGACAGATGTGTGATTTGTTCTCCAGGGACAGCAGAAGCCCTAGCACCAAACCTCTGCTTAATCCTGTTATGTGCTTCTGGGTGAAGGAGCTGGAGGTTTGACTTGTCCCACAGCAGCTGGACCTTGCTACCTGCTTCCCTGCAGCCACACAGCCTCCAGCTGCCTCCCTCAAAGTAGGGGAAGGCACAGAACAGAGCCAAGGGCCCCCAAAGCAGAGCACTCCATCTTCCCACCAGCCAGTGGCCTTGTAGGAGGGTCAAGAAGCTTCCTGCATGCTTGTCCTGTGGCCTCTTTTCAGCACCCCGCACCACAGAGCTGTCTGCCAAGAGCAACCCCACAGGACAGACGGGATATTGACACTGCAACTGCCAGCTTTTTGGAATGCATCACCAGGTTGAGTGCCCACACTCAGATCCCTCCATCCCCACCAGCCCTGTGGCATCATGCTGCTGTCAGGCTCCCTGTGGGACCTTGTGTTGTGGAGATGAGTTTAGGCTGTTCCTCAATCCCAGCCCTACAGCCAGTTCTGCTCTAAAACTCCCACAGGAGTGCAGAAAGGAACTAAGGTCCCCCCAGTATCTCTGCCCCAGGGTTAGGACCCAATTCCAGACAAAGGGCTGTCATGCCACAGGCAGGAGGTGGGCAAGTTTGCTCTGAGTGCAGCCCTGGATGAGATGGAGGACACCGAGTGGGAGGCGTTCTCCTTCTCACCCTGCCAGACAGCTGGGCGTGACTCTGGCTGGAGGCTCCTCTGCTAACTCAGCTCTGCCACCCAGTGTCGCTTCCCAGGGAAATGCCACAGTAATAAATAAGTGTAAAAAGAGACCGATGCACCTTTTAAGCAAAGGAAAACCATGGGGAGAGTTACAACCATTGATTTGAGCACAGCCAAGGTGCACACCAGAGACCAGAGGGCAGGTAGGGCATAGGCCCCTTGTGTGGGCTGACCCCGTGAAGCCATCTGCCTTGGTGAGCAGCAGGGCAAGGGGAAGGGCCTTGTCCTGCTGCACTCCTGGCTATGCCAGATGGCAGCTAGCGGGACAGGGGTGTCTGTTTGAGGGAGATGAGCACCGAGCGCATCCGCGAGACATCCTTGCTTTGCTTGCTGCTCTTGGGGTTGAAGTCACAGAGCTGGGCCACCTTCTCCCACTCTGAGCCTGGGGTTTCCTCCTTGGACTCCTTCAGGAATGCTTCCTCCGAGGCCCTGCAGAGATGTTGAGGGTTGTCAATGGCAGAACTCTTTCTGAGGAGACCCTTCCCTCTGGGAACCCATCGTGTCCCCATTTCCTGTCTCACTGCTCCAGACAATTAACTCAGCATTCTCTAGGATCCAGAGACCTGGGATGCTCAAGGCTGCTGCTGGCTGCACTCACCTAAGACAATGTTCATCCAGAAGCACCGGGGTGTCTGCCTGCTCTCAAGACTTCTCCACCCCTAGGACACTCCCTTAAAAGCCCTAAACTCCACAGCTTTGTCTCTTCAACCAGCTCCTCCGGGGGGCAATTTCAAGAGCTCTGCTGCTTCCTAAGCATTTGGAGGTGCTCAGCTGAAGCATTCTCATTCTGGAATCTTACCAGGGACCAGTACCTCCCAGCATCCCCCCTTCCCTTGACTGGGCAACCAAAGTGCTGAGGCAAGGACCCCAGACCGTGCAGGGCAGAATATGGTCTGTAAGACACACATACACATAGCCAATCACATCGGCGTCCGGCTGCTGGTAAAAGGCTTTGTCAGCGATCCTAGCCCCGAGGCACAGACAGAGAGAGAACGCAGAGCAGACAGGCAGGCAGAGGGTTAGAAAGAGAGAAACAGAGAGGGGGTTAGCATCCTCTCACAGAGCATAACCCATTCATCATGCCACACACAGCATCAGAAAAACCTCCCAGCAACAACAGGGCTGCATAGCTTCCCAACCCTGCCTCAAAGTGAGGCCCACGCACGGGACAGGAGTCCCTCAAATCCTGCTATGTTCGTCCAGCCTTCAGTTGGGACCAGGGCAGCTCTGAACGCCCACCAGAGCTGCCTGGAGTACTGGGGCATGGTCTGGCAAAGCCCTGCCTCTGCAAGGCTGCGTCCACTGTGGAGACAGAGCTCCCTGGTTACTACAGGAAGGCACATCTGGCTGCAACAACTGCTCCTACTGAGCCCTGCCAGTCTCAGCTCTAGAGGCCATGCTGATCCCAACATACCTGTTGTTTGCTCGGTTCTTCTCCATCTGCTCATTCTGACGCAGATTCCACTCCTCCAGGTCCTTTTTGGCCTTCTCACGCCATTCCTGCTCTGTCACTTTTGATGCTGCATCTAAGGCCAGGGTGAGACAGACCCTATCAGACAGACTGGCACCCACTGACACCACAGACTTGTTCCCAGCTCCCACTAGAACATTCTCTGAAGGTTGTCACTGCCTCCAAGGACAGATTTTTGGTGGGGGCACCCACATGGCATGAGGCAAAAGGCACATCTTGGGTGCAGTGGGATCACCACCAGGCAAGGGATCCCAAGGACCTCAATCACTATTGTTCTGTGGTGCAACTAGCATGGCCACACCCAGCCTTGGGTCTCACCCAGCTCCTCCAGGCGCTTCTTCTGCTCCTCCCTCCATTTGCGGATGCTCTCAGGTTCCTGGGTCAGCCGATCAGCCTTGGCTATGGCTGCATAGGCATCTGTGGGGCCATTGGACTCCTGCAGGATGCAAGCACCTCACCATCAGCATCAGCTCCTCACACAGCCCGGCCCAGCCTTCTCAGTGGGCTGACAACGCAGAACAGGACTCCAGGCTCCCAGCACCAAGACAAGCCAAGATATGTAGGGTTGGTGACAGCACAGTACAGCTGCTGTACTGGCCCCAAAGCACTGCTCAAGCTGTGGTCGCAGCCCCAAGAATGAGTGCCATCTTAGGCTGGGCCTCAATAGACAAAACGAGCCCAGGTGAGGCAGAGCTCACGAGAACACCACCCTCTGCTCCAGCCCACACGCAGCAGCCTCTCGTGGTTCTCCAAGCTGAGAAGCTTGGAGAGCACAGCTCCCACCAGGTCCAGCATCATGCTCTGTGCCACATCAGCACCTTTCCTAAACCTTTCTGCTGGCTGACATGGAGCTAAGCAAAGGGATTACAGCTCTCCTCCAAGATCCGCAATCTAATTAAGTCTATCCCATCTCTGATGTGATTATCATCCCATAGACTAGGCATAGATAATGCATAGGAGGCTTGTCAGAAGCTGGCACTTCTCCTGTATCCTGCACAGCTTGGCTCCCAGAGGGAGATGAGACCCATGCAGGTGTCCCCCTGAAACACCCTCAGCCATGGGGAAAGCAAGTTTAACAGGAGATGCTGCTGGAGTTGGTAGCAAGGCTATAGCCATGTGTTAGCAGAGCAAGTGCCTCTGGAAGCTCCGTTCTGGATCTGGACTTCAGGAGATGCTCCCAAACACCCCTGAGAGCCTCTAGGAGATTTCCAGGCTGGAAAAAGAGGGGTTTGCAATCTTCCCTTACAGCTCAGGCACTCCTTCAGAGCACAGGTCGCCTACAAACAGATTTGGGGCAGGATCTGAACCAGCATAATTCACTCTCAAATCCTCCAACTCCAAACTCTGGGCCATGACAGAGGGACCATATCTTGTCTTTCAAGCATAGGTGAGAACAGAGGAGCCAGGGACCCACCATGAGACCCAAACTTTTCAAGGAGCACCAGAGCTTTTCTGGAGCTGAAGAGCACAAGCAATCCCAAAGGCAGAACAGCTGCATGCTGGCCCCACACCCACCTAATCATTCTTGGTACCACCGGGCCAGAACATGGGCCTGAGCTCTCACCTGAAAAACATCTCCATTGACAGTGGCTCCTCCATTCTGGAAACCAGCTAGAAAAATAAGGAAGAAAAACACAACTGTGGCAACTGAAGTGATCCCAGAGGATCTGGGGTTCATGAGACAGAAACAAGCCAGTTCCTTGGGGATGCAGATGTGCCATTTACAACCCAACACACCTATCCACATATATGGAAGACTCACATATATGGGTCCCAGACTAAAGACCCTATGCTGATTCAAGCAATGGACACCAGCAGAGCTGTGTGCTGAAGCTCAAGTTAGGGCTACCAAGGTATCTAGAGGAGGACTCCTTCCCAACATCCTTGGCCCTGGCAAGTCCTAGCAGGACCCCAAATCCCCTTGGCCTCACACAGCCTGTCCAGGATAGCAATGGGAAGAGGACAGTGTGCTGCTCTGCTGTCCAGAGCCATTAACCCAACAAATCCTCCCTGAGTTGCTGCTGCAGAAAATGTGTGGAGACTCCTGCCATTCCTGAGGCCAGGCTGTGGTCTCCCGTCCTTGGAGGGACTTGGTCAGCACCTTTTTCCCAGACAAAACTTTCAGGGCTCTTTATGTCTTTATAGTGTTTTCACTGCTTCTTCTTCTTCTTTTTTTTTTTTTTTAAATCTTTTCTGAAGATTAGGGAAACTCCTCCAGGCACAGGGCTGGACATCATGTTCTGGCTGTAAGAAAACAACTCGACCAACTCCAGCTCTGCAAAAGGTAGCAGCTGCCTCCCTCAGCACACAGATGGGTGACCCAGAAGCTGTCAGCCGAGTGCCCAGAAGAGGCAGAACTGCTCTACGCCTGCAACAGGAATGCAACATTGCCAGGGACAAGCTCACAGAAACAGTTCAGCACACTTTCCTCCCTCTCAGCCTCAAGAGTTGCATATTGATGCCTTGCATGTGGCTCTCTGCCACTGCGTAAAGAGGCTTTGACAAAAGCAGAATCCAGGCCCTGAGCTCTCCCCAGTGATGATCATGCTCAACCACAGGGCCTTTGCTGGCCATCTGGCTGCGGGCACATGCAGCCACAGCACAGCTCTAGAGTACCTCAAGGGAGCACTGTCCCCACAGTGCTCACCCTGCAGCTCCAACTAAATCCAGCTCCAGCCTGCCTGACTGCATTTAGCAGTGAGGCTGTCAGCACCTCTCTGGGCCCAGATCTGACTCTGCGGCTCTGTAAGTAGAAAGGTGAAACCACCATTCTACAGACAGGCCGAAGAGGCCCTGGGGGCCTGCCTGCATTACGGGCAGAAGCAAGAGGACAGTGGTGTCCCTCTGTCCATGTGGATAACAGATCTCTGAGCACCTGTTATCTACCTAAAAGCTGGGCTGGGGCTCACATGGAGGCTTGAGATCAGGATTAACACCATCTACCTGCAGAGCCTAGGACCATGACATCCACAATGGAAATGTCTTCCATTTTGCACCCCACAGAGCTCTCCTGTCTACGAGTGCAGTGTAGAGGCCACCCAGCTTAACATGGATACCTGCATCCCACCTCAGTGTCCCTCATGATATCCCAGCTGGGGGCACTGAGGCAGGGACATGGGGGCTCTGTCTGACTCACGGAAACCAGCCTGAGGAAGAGCTGCCCCATAGCCTGTAATCCCACGCTCAGGAGTTACCCCACATCCTGAGAGTCCAGAAACCTCAAGACTTTCGGGACCAAGCACAGACCCCAGAGAGCCCTTGCTGGGATCTAACCCGTAGGGGATCCTGTTTGCCCACTGCAGGTGGAACCGGCACACGCCAGGGGTGCAGCGCATCCCACGAGGAGCCCCAAAGACAGCTGAGGGGCAGCCTTGAGGCACCCCTCCTCGGGGGAACCTCAACGACCGGAGGGGGCCTCCGCGCTGCGGGTAACGGCACAGGGGGCAGCCCGGGGGCACAGCGCTGCTTTATACCCGTCCCCCACCCCGTGCCCATGGAGGAGGCCCCGCCCGGTGCTGCGCGGCGCTCACCCGGCTCCGGCGGGGCCGCCTGCCCTGCGGGGGCGGAGGCCGAGTCGCCGTCGGTGGGCCCGAAGCCTTCGTCGTTCTCGATGCCCGCGATCTCGCTTTCCTGCTGGGCCAGGAAGGCGGCAGCCGGGTCCTCCTCGGTGCCGGCGCCCTCGGACGAGGAGAAGAAGCCGAAGTCGTCGGCCATGGCCCGCCCGCTCGGTTCGGCTCGGCCCGGGCGGAGCTGTCACTGCGGCGGCGGCGGGCGGGGCGACGGCTGACATCACGGAAGGGCGGCCCCGCTTCCCTCCTCCCCCTTCCCTGCCCGCCCCTCTCGGCGGTGCCGACTCGGCCCTTCCTCGGGCTGTGGGAGGCGGGGGTGCCGCCGTAGCCCCCGGGCTCTGGGCCGGCCGAGGTCCCGCCGGGCTCTGTACGCTCGGGGCCCCGCGGCACAGGACGCTGGTGGGCGCCATCTTGGTGCGGGCTCCGCCTCCGCCATCTTGGGTGGGGCCACCGCCCGCAGCCGGGGGAGCGGGTAGAACCGGCCCGGGGAGCGCTGGCAGCCCGCCCGCTGCCGGGCCGGCACGTTGCTGCGGGGGGCTCCGCACCGCGTCTTGGCCTGGCACCGCTCCACTGCCTACAGTCGCAGGCGGCTGCCGATCTCGGCCATCTCCGGAAATAGCCGAACGGCTCTTTCGGGACCCTTCGTGTGCCAATAGGGATTGTCGAGCACGCGGTTCCTGTGAATGGGGTTCGGGCATTTCCGGAGAGCTCCGAGAGTGCTTCGGCTACCTCCGGAACGTGCTCGGGTACTTCCGGTCACGGCAGACGAGCGGCAGCCGGCCGCTCAGCCGCGCGGAAGTGCGAGTGGGCGGCGTCACTTCCGGAGGGTGACGGAGCGGCGGGTCAGAGGCGGAGGAAAATGGCGGCGCCTGAGGAGCGGGAGCTGACGGCGGAGCAGACCGAGAAGCTGCTGCAATTCCAGGTGCTGCGCAGGGGGCACGGGCCTGCTCCGCCGCCGCTGGGGTGCTGCCGGCCTGCTGCGCGGCTGGGGGCTCAGGCGGGCTCTGCCCGGGGAGAGTCCGGCTGTACGGGGTGCCGGGCCCAGGCTGGGCTGGGGGCGAGAGGGGAGCGCCCCGCGTCCGTTTCCCGGCGAGGGCGGGGACGTTCGGTGTGGGACTCCTGTGGGACTCCCTTGGGGATCGCGTGTCCCTCGACCCTGCCGGTCCGGCGCTTCGCTGAGGGCTGTGCCCCCAGCGCTTCATTAGCGATGGTGTTTGGGCAGCGCCCGTTGGCAAGGCAGGAAATGAATGCTGAGTGAACCCACTGCCTCCGTGTGGGGAGAGCAACCCGGCCAGTCCTGGCCGTTTCAATCAGGTGATCTGAAAATGTCCCTTTATTGATAATGGTGAGTGGCAGGTCATTCCTGCCGTGCTCAATTAGCCTGTGAGCTTCTATGGAGCCCGGCTTCTGAGAGAGCTGTATCCAACGTGCCCGGTGTGGTAATGCCTGCTGGGGAAGGCCCCTGGAGAGTGCAGTGATCTGATCTCACTGCTTGCTGCATTACATGAGCTAATCACTTAACATCTGGTTTGCAGGGGACATGAAAGAGGCAACCTGCAGATGTGTTTGCTGGAGGGAAAACTGCCCCAAAGCTGAACTAGTATGGCTGCTCAAGGGAAAAGTAATTCATCTGTTTTGTTGTTGGCCAGTGAGAATTACTGTCAGGTGTCTTAGGTTTGTTTTTGAATTGCAAGGCATCATTTGGTGTTATGTGGACTGCAGCGTTTATAAATGTATTTTTTTCAGATTTTTTTGTCTCATATTCTTGTATTGTTTTTTTTTTTTTAAAGATAGTATCTCAGTGGGTACCTGTAGATTAAAGGGTCCCTGGAGGCATCCAGTTCTGCTTTCCTTGGCTGATCTAGGTGCAAATGCTCTTCGTCATTCCTGACAGTTTCCCAACCTTTATATCATAGCCAGGAAGATCAAACAACCTCCTGAAGTAACCTACTGCAGTGTTTTTCTATAATCTTAACTATGATAGACTTTTTCTTTAAATACAGAGGTCCTGTCTAAACATTTATCCCAAATCTAGCATGTTGGGCAATCTTAATTTACAGACAAATGAGGTACAAGAGCATTGGCAATTGCTTTCCTGGTATTACTGTTTCCCTGGTAAGTGTATAAGGCTTAAGCTATTGCCTTGTGCATTGCATGTATAAGCAAAAGGAGCTGGAGGGAAGCTTTTACAGTAGTACATCGCAGTGCTTAACCTGCTGAATCTGGACAGATAGGACCAGCTGCACTCATCAATTTCCCTGTTGCTATTTTCAAAGCCCTGTGGGCAGCTGTGAAATGAAAGAATCCCGTGCATTTCCTCCCTCTACCTGGTATTACCATGGAGAGCAGTCTGGGGACTCAGGAGGAGGATCCATATTTTAGCCCAGCTTCCTGTTGTGCCCTGGTTTGAAGATGGGGAAATGCTTAGACTGCAAAGGGGAGAAAATTGGCAGTTATCAAACTGTGTGAGTGATGTAGTCCAAAAGGCTTCAACACCAGCATCCTGCTGCCCCATCTCCTCGGGTGTGCAGGCTTACTTTTTCCTGGGGCTGTGCAATGGCTGATTTCTGGTGATACTTCTTATTTTTCTTTAGCTAGAACGGTGTATGAAGTAGCACCTACTGTCTGAGGAGGATGGCTCTGTCTTGCTAAAAGTCATTTGTACGCTGCTACTGCTGCACAGCACTACTACTGTTAGCTTGTAAACCTTTCAGGGATTACTACTCTCCAAGAAAGCGAAGGGCTGTCTGAAGAAGAGCTGTTTGTAATGCACTGTCATAATTTGAGCAGTGCTCTGTGGTGGCAGAGCTTTGTACTCTCACAGAAGGCATGCCACAGCCACGTAAGTAAAGCAGAAGGAATTAAGAGAGAAGAGCATGAGGTGGCAAAGGTGAGGAAAGCAATAGCAGGAGGCCCTCAGTAGTATTACATTTAAGAGCCAAAAGAAAAGTGTAGAGAGAGAACTGCTGTCATTTGCCCAATGAACAGGTGCTCTGGTTGAAGATACCACTGTCCTTCACTGTCTGCCCTTGTGCTGGAAATCATTGTTTCCAAGGTAGAGAAATGGATGCCTGCTTCTGGCCTGAGTCAGCTGGGCTACTGTGCTGTTTAAATACACAATTGTACAATTTGCATACATACTTTGCATTAAGTCTACTGATGTTTGCATGATGTGTTTTGGTAGTGCATATATAAATACTTGTGCTGGCAAAACTGTCAAAGCAGCAGCTATCTTCCTATGGTTAGGGCTGGCAGAGGCTGGTCACCTGCCACCCTGCTGTGATAGGTTAATGGTGTGCTTAAAAAAAACCAACATACGTACATGGAGAAATGATGGGGATAAACATGAAGTAAAAGCAACAAACACTCTTGCTTACTTTTGGTCTCCCATTTGCTGCTGAATTCTTGGCTAATATAAACAAAATAAAAGCATCTAAATTTTCATCTATCAGAACTTGGCAGTCTTGACATCTGTAGAGAGAAACTTCACGTGAGCTGTTTAAGAAAGCTGTGGTGGTGCAGTTCCGTTTGGGAGGCAGAAGGAACAGCAAAGCAGCATTTGCAGGATTGCATTATCGATCTGTGCCCATTACATTTGGGCTGATGTCTGTTGTACTTATGCTAATGCAAAGAAAAGGAGTGTTGTTTGCAAAGGAAAAAGTTAGTGCTCACGATACCATCTCTAACTTCAGCTGGGGGAAATCAAACACTCAGGGCTGAAAACCTCTTTGAAGAGGAAACTAAGACACTCAGATCTTTACCACCCAGTGCATCGAGTATCAATCAAATCTTCCATAAATGCATTTGCTGTAACATGCAAAGAGAAATTATCCTGCTAAAGGTTTTTTGCTGCTTGAAGTCAGATATTCCTTACCATTGGAAACCTGATTTTGTGGGATTTCTCAGGAGCTGAGAATTAAGAGCGGTGCCAGTTAGAGGCCTGCAGATTTGCATCTTTTGTGCAATGTTTCAGCATAGGAGCATATCTGCAGAGGGTGCGATTTCATAAGTCTAGCATACAACCTTTGTCCACCCAGGGATATTCCTTTGGTCTTTTTAGTGTGGAATTGCACTTCTCACTGTTCGGGATTAAGGAGATTTTGGGCTTCTGAGCAGTGTCTCAATGGTGAGAGATACAAATAATGATATCCAGCTGCAGTGTATTTTGGGACAGCATTCTGCTCTGAGGGGTGTTTGAGAAGGTAATGCTGAACTTCCCTGCCTTCTGTTGGATACAGTGCTTTTTCTTCTAAATATTATTATCCTTTGTCTCGAGCTTGGACCTACATTTGTATGGAGGTTTCTGTATGAGAGCACTAATTCAATGGGGTTAACTTTATTTTTAACTACAGGATACTCTATCTTTTGTCTTTGAAGGAAGGAGCTAATGAGAGACTAGCAATGAGGAGGAAAATATCAGTTAGTGACTGACGTGAAGGTACTTTATTCTCTTAATGTTGATGATACTAAATGCATATTCATTTCTTCCCTATGTGGATAAGAGTTGGCAGAATAGCCTCAAGATCCACCGGAAATGCCAGAAGTGGCATAGGACATGTTTCAAGTCTTGCTGCTGCAGTGACACAGTAACTGTAGAAGAGAAAACAGTTAACAGTGGTTAAGTGGGAATGACCACTATCAGTATCTACCAGCAAGCTTTGTGTGAATTGGCAGTTGAACTGTTGTCATGCTGTTCTCATGGTGTGTGCTGGTTGTTCTGAACATCCCATGTCTTCCAGAACATCCTGAACATCCTCCTGTCTCACAGAGCATATCAGAGTAACATTCCAAAAGATGTTTAGTTAGTTGCCCTTACACAGGGGATTTCTTACTCTTGCCCTGCAGCGTTTTGTGGTGTGGCTTTGCTGATCAGAAGAGTGGTGTTTGGGTGGCTTTGTCACTTCTGTTTCATGTTGAGCGCATACATATTAAGATAGCAAGGAAGAAGTGTAGCTGCACCTCTGGGGAGTTGTACCATTTTAGGGGCTGGTGAGATCAGACCATCAGCATGGTGCTTGCTGTAGCGATGGCCAGGAAGGGCTGAAGTTAACCTCATGGAAGGCTCTGGGAAGCTCAGTAAGCCTGCCCAGTGCTGCAGTGATCGTATTGTTAAATGTTTGTTGATAGCTGTGGATGGCTGTTATTCTGGTGCTGTTTTCTGATCAAAAACTGCTACTGCGTTTTTGTAATTTAAAAAGGAAGCCCTGTTAATAATGCCCA